TAACTATGCTTGGGATTCTTCCCTCATCAGATTTCTTTTGGCCTAATCCTCTAATCTATCCAGGTCACTCTGGACCCTGTCCCTGCCCTCCAGTGTATCTACCTCTCCCCCTAGCTTAGTGTCATCTGCAAATGTGCTGAGGGTGACATCCATCCACTCATCCAGGTTATTAATAAAGATATTGAACAAAACCGGTCCAAAAACAGATCCTTGGGGCACTTTTTGAGGAAAAGCGTCTGTGGCCAATCTAGACGCGCTTTTCTGCAAAAAAGCCCCAATCGCCATTTTCGCGATCGGGGCTTTTTTGCGGAAAACAAATCTCAGCTGTCTGCACTGGCCCTTTTGCGCAAAAGCTTTGCGCAAAAGGGACTTTTGCCCGAACGGGAGCAGCATAATATTTCCGCAAAAAGCACTGATTTCTTACAGGAGGAAGTCAGTGCTTTTGCGGAAATTCAAGCAGCCAGTGTAGACAGCTGGCAAGTTTTTCCGGAAAAGCAGCTGATTTTCCGGAATAACTGGCCAGTCTAGACACAGCCAGTCTGTGCTACATGAGCTTTTGTTTCTGGCCCTTATCTTACTACAGTAATGTGTAAAGTTGTATTTTAAAAAAAGCTGGAAATGGCTGAGCACTTAAACCAGATGGGAACAGACTTCAGCTAAGTGATGATTTTGTAAAGAGCCTTCAGACAGGTTTTAGTAGTTCCCTTTGCTTCATACTATGTGCTGTGCTTCAGAGGGACACGCTAGGGTTATTGTGTGGGTGTTGATTTATGTGTGGCTTTATCTTGTGCTAGGAGACTGGTGTAGATATGAGTGGATTAAGTTTAGGGACTATGCATATAACTAGTAGATGCTGGAGAGGTTGATTTGCTTGCAGCTGCTTCCATTACTTCACACTGCTTAAGGATGTTAGAATCTTACTACATTGGGTCCCAAGAGCACATTGGGTCTTCAAATAGGGTACTGGCAGAGCACAATTGTCTTAGTCAGCTGTTCCACAACTAGGAGTGTCATGCTGAGTTTGAAACAGAAAATGTGAATAAAGCATTACAAATAAGATTCTGTCAAGGATTGCCTTCTGGCCAGATTAGTTTTTCTTTAACAGTGATTTTGTCTTATCACAGAGATGCCAGAGTGAATAGGGCCATTGGTTTGCTGTAGCAGGACATTACAACCAATATTAACCCTTATTTAGGTAGGGAATGGATATTTCAGCAGCCACCCTTCCTGTAGTGCACAGCATCTCTAGCATTTTACGACCCCCTAAAGCTTAGTCCCTTGGGCTACATCTACACTGGCATGATTTTGCACAAGAACTCTTTTGCAGAAGAGTTCTTGTGCAAAAACTCTTTCAGAAGAGAGCAGACACTAGCACGTGCCTTTGCGCAAGAGATGTGCTTAAGAGCATGCTTGCCAGTGTAGACACTCTCTTGCACAAGAAAGCTCTGATGGCCATTTTAACCATAGGGCTTTCTTACGCAAGTAATTCATGTTGCCAGTCTACACTGGCCTCTTGCACAAGAACAGTTGCTCAAGAGGGCTTATTCCTGAGCGGGAGCATCATGGTTCTTGTGCAAGAAGCCCTGATTTTGTACATTAGAACATCAGTGTTCTTGTGCAAGAATTCACTGCCAGTGTAGACAGGCAGCAAGTTTTGGTGTAAGATCGTACCAATGCAGACACAGCCTAGAAGAACACACCTATAAGAAAAAAAAATCCCACCTGGGAAGCTAGAAAGTATTCCAGTAGCAGCCCCTGTACAAATAGCTGAGCACAGATGGAGGAAAGGAGCTCTAATTTAAGTTAAAACAAAAAAACAGGACTGTGTAGCACTTTAAAGACTAACGAGATGGTTTAATAGGTGATGAGCTTTCGTGGGCCAGACCCACTTCCTCAGATCAAATAGTGGAAGAAAATTGTCACAACCATATGTACCAAAGGATAAAAAAAAAAAATGAACACCTATGAAAAGGACAAATCAAATTTCAGAACAGAAGGGGGATGGAGGGAGGTAAATGTCTGTGAGCTC